CCGTGTTTTGTTCGACAGGTTGAGTCTAAACGTTGACAATAATTAAAAGCAGATGTTTACGTGATTTACACAGGGCTTAGATGTTATTGTGACTGTAGAACTTTATTCCCTGTGCTGTGTTCGCATCTCGAGTTGTCTGCACTGGTGCTTTTCAACCTGGTGGGAACAGGAGGACTATTTGGGGTTGGCGTGCCTTTACAAATGCATATCCCCAGGCCTCGCCCCAACCTGCTGAATCTACAGGGGACCTGGGAGTTTGTATTTAAAAAAATTTGTTTTAATGTTTACTATTTTGAGAGAGAGAGAGAGAGAGAGAGAGAGAGAGAATGGGCAGGGGAGGGGCAGAGAGAGGGAGAGAGAGAATCCCAAGCAGGCTCCACCCTGTCAGCGCAGAGTCTGACACAGGGCTCGAACTCACAGACCGCGAGATCATGACCTGAGCCCAAACCCGGAGTCAGATGCCTAACTGACTGAGCCACCCAGGCGCCCCAAAGGAGTTTGTATTTTTTAAGCTCCTCCAGTGGCAGTGGCTTTTGGAGTGTTACATACCTTAGTTTCAGGGAAGGTCACTTGACTTTGTTTACTAGGTGAACATCCTCTTGTCTGCAGCCTCACAGGCAGTGGTGCCCCCTCTGCCGCGAGCATGTGTCCCCCAGCACACGCAGCCCTTACTGTTGGAAACCTGCCCGGACCCAGACTTATCTCTTGGCCTTTGAGGCTGCAGCTCCCGTGTGAGCCTGGTCTCCCCGCTCCCATCCCACTCTTCCTCCTCACTGCCCTTCTGCCCTGTGGTTTGGTGAGAAGAAGCATTCTGGCCTCTTCTGGGGTTCTGACAGGGCTGCCTCTGGGCAAGAAAGCACAGCATTGTAAAAGCATGGAGGTGTGCAGAGAGGTGGGCCACAAATATTTTAGAGGACTCAAGTCATTTATTCATTCAACAAGCATCTTCTGACGTGTATTACAGGCAAGGCTCTAAGGGACCATCTGTGTGAGAGAAAAAGGCACATTTGACCAGTTCTAGGTAGTCAGTTTCCAAGACAGAGATGAAAGCGTTGGGAGCAGGGAGGGATCAGTGCTGGCTTCCTCCCACTCCCGGGATGCTCCAGGGCAGTGTGCTTCATTCAGCCATGGGCTCTGACCCATTAGTGGGCTGTGAAGTCCCTTCAATGGGACTCAACCATCCTTTTAAGAATTGGATAGGATTCAATTCGAATGCGTCTTAGAATGCATGGTAGTAAGAGTTGTTAATGTCTCATTAATTCTTCCTTTGGCCCTGCCTAAGCTCCTGTTCCCCTGTTAAATACTTAAGTGAGTTTTAAGTGTGGTTGTTGAAGCTCTTTTATTTCTAGAGATTCTATCTGGTTCTTTCTCAGCCTGTGGTGTTACTTTGTGCAGTTTCCCCTTCTAAGGATCCCTTAGGCTTTTGTGGATTTAGGCAGGGTAGGTGTAACTGTTCTACGGATGCCTGTGTTTGAAGTCTCTTCAACATCTGTTTCTACTGTCTGTTTTGTGGGTTGGTTCTCTCTCATCACATCTAGTTCCCAAGAGTTCCTGGTTGTTTTTCACTGTACACTGGATATTGCATTTGAAAAATTTGGTACGGAGTGCCTCGGTGGCTCAGTCGGTTGAGCATCCAACTTCGGCTCTGGTTTGAGCCCCATGTCGGGCTCTGTGCTGGCAGCTCAGAGCCTGGAGCCTGCTTTGGATTCTGTGTGTCCCTCTCTCTCTCTGCCCCTCCCCCATGTGCGCTCTGTTTCTCTTTCTCTTGAAAATAAATAAACGCTTAAAAAAATTGAAAGATTTGGTATGAGTCGTTGTGGACCAGGAGGAAGTTACCTTCCTCCAGAGAGGGTGTGCATATCCTGTTACTGGACTCCTGGGGCTCCACCCATCCAAGACCGCCTAAAGCCAGGCACGAATTTTGGGTTTCTTGCACCATCCAAGGGATTCCAACAGGGCTCTCATTGCTGGAAGGAGCTCTTTTCACCTGGGGTGTAGCCCTTTGGGGTCTTAGCTTCCTGAGTGGAGGGTCGCCTGTTAGACTCCCACCTTCCATGGGCCTGGGCTTGGATTTCTGTCCCTGTCACCTGATGGAGTCATCCAAATAAAAGCCTGTGTTTTCTGGAATCAGCAAATATCCTCAGGGCAAAAGTAGCTTGGGTGTTTCTGTATCTCTGAACTTCCCTTTGATCTTCTGTTCGGGCCCAATAATTCTTCACTGTTTTGTCAGTTCTTTAAGAAGTCTTAAAATAATATCCATTTGAAAAACCTGGTTGCTTTAGCTGTTTTCTGGTTGGGTTGGTCCAAAAGACATGATAATGACGGTTCTCAGCCCTGCCCTGTCACAGCCTGCCCCTATTACCAGGGACAGAAGTCCCCATGTGGTTTCACAAAGTGGTGATCCAAGAATGTATTTCGTAGGCGAGTCAGTTCAGAAAGGCTTGAGCCCCTCTGCTGTAGGGCGACCCAGGGCAGCATCTGTCTTTCCTTCTGTTCTCTGTTCTGGATTGGGAGTGGGAGGGGGTGGTGGGGAGACCAGGGAGCTCATGACCGCCAAGACCTGTGGGCTCCAGGCTCACTCAGACTCCTGGCCCTGGCCCTCCTGTCTCAGTTTGCCCGACCCAAGTCTGACTGGCTGCTGTCACTTCACCTCCTCCTCCGGCACTGTCTTGCCCTTCCCTCCACTTGAGTGCCCCATCCCTTTCCTCCCTTCTAGGCTATAGATTCAGGCCCCACGTCATCCACGTGAGGGACTCATTTCTAGATTCCTGTGTTCATCTGGCAGATATTCTCTGAGACCTGACCTGGTGCTGGAGATACGGGGAAGGACACGTGGCCCTGCCAGCCTGCAGATGAGCCTGTCAGATCCAGAACCCCCTTTAATATTATTAAGTGGAATTCAAAAATAATACAATCTATGCATGTCTATATTTATGTAACATAAAATGGGGGGTCCAGGGCCCGGATCTGACTGAGCTTGGAGCTGGGGGGAGGGAGCGAGGCCAGTCTAATACCTTAAGCGTGATAAAAAAGAGACATAAAAGGAAAACAATTTATAATATAGTAGTATATGTTTTAGAAGTCGATGTTGGGCACAACTAGAAGACCCAAGGAAGCAGTCAGAGCTTGCCTGTGAATCATGAAGACGGCAGCCACAAACGCAGGCATCTGGCACGGCCATGAGCGTGATGCATTCTCTGAAACAGCAAAAAGCTCCTGGTCAAGTTTGAGCAACACAAAGAACAACACAAATTCCCTCAGTTTCGAAACGAGTCGCATTCCTGAAAAATTCAGTGTTTGCTAAAAACTGTGCAACAAGTACTTTGTGTTTCTGTGGGCCACTCTGGGCCCAGAGTGCTGCCCTCAGCTGTCCACCTGCACGCGTGTGGCAGGACACTCTCGGCAGGAGTCATGCCGGACAGTCTTTATGGTGCAGGTGTCCAGCGTCCCTGTCCTGCCCACTAAATGCCAGCTGTTACCTCTATCAGGACAACCACCCTCCCATTTTCCAAAACAATTCCTGGTATGCTCCACTTCTCTGACTTCTCTTGGGCACCAGTGGCCTCTAACAAGGCAGTGCGATCGATGTGGTAACCGGGGGACCTGGGGAGCCCTGGGAGCTCCAACCCAGCCTGACGAAGCAGGAGGACTTCTGGGAGGCGGTGACACATGAGCTTCTTCTGGAGGGCTAAGCAGTTCCTTGTAAAGACATACTCTCTCCGACAAACTGAGCGCTTATTTCTAGAAGTGATGCCCCCTCATGCTGGTGGTGCCAAGGTGGGCTAGGCAGGGCAGGCCTTGGCGGCTCCATCTACGAATAGAATTGCCATTTTTTCCTTCCCTCTGTCTTTGACTCACTCGGTCTGTCTTCCTGATGGCACCAGGGGCCCTCTGCCTGCTCATGGGCTAGATAGAAAATCCAGTTTTGCTTTTAGTTGCCGGGGGCTGGATGACCAGTTTGACCAGAGCAGGCACCTAGCCTTCCTTTGGAGGGTAGATGAGAGGGCTTGAGGGGCTCTCCAGCACAGCCATCCCTGTCCTGGGCTCCATGCGGCTGGAGAGGCCCAGTACTGCAGCGTGAGAGGGGTCTTAGAGACCATAAGCCCAGCGCCTTGTCCAGGGTGTGGTTCACTCCTGTGACGGGGCACCCACTGCCTCACAGGACAGCCTGTGCTGTTGTCAGGTGGGTCCATCCGCCTGGGCCAGCACGTCACCATGACCCAGAATCCCCGATCCCCTCCCACCACACTTTAGAATAGGATTTTTCAACTCATGCTTCCTTTTGATAAATAGAAAAATCTGATGCCCTCTCTGGAGTGGGGGCTTATGAAAATCATAAGTGTTTCATCTGCTTTCCAAAAGAAAAAGAGTAAAAATGAGCCTGTTTCTGGAATTTTGATTGGGCAGGTTTTAGGTCAAGTTCCCTGGAAGCAGAGCCTATGACAGGAAGAATTATTGAAGAGGGGTCTCAGGGGAGACCTCACTGACTCAGGGCAAGGGAAGAGCCAAGCAAGGATGTGGTTTCAGGCCAAACAGAAGCGTCAGCCGGATCGTACAGGGAGCTGGGGAGTGACCAGCACTGCGGACAGTCATCTCCAGAGGCCAGACTATCCTGTGTCTGTGCCAGCTGCTCCTGGGGGTGGGGAGGGAGAGGGATGCAACTTCCCAGGCATCTGTGGGCAAGATGGCAGTGGGCCAGAGGAGGATGCAGGTATGAACTGTCAGCCACCGATGTCCACAAAAGCTGGCACAGACAGGGCATGGGGTGCGGGCCTGAGAGCCTCTGATAAATCTCCCATGGGGAAGAGGGCCTGCGTCTGCCTCCCAGCTGGGATCCTGCTTTCACACCTGCCCCAACTTCTTCTGGGTCCTTCTTACCACTACCTCTCCATCCCAGTGGGGCAGGAGGATGGGGAGAGTGGAGGTGGAATTTGGGGGGTGGGGCTGTAGGCTGAGCCCTCCATGAACTGATCTCCCTCCCTTGGCCTGCCCCACCACAGACTGCCTCTTCAAGGTGTGTCCCATGAACCGCTACTCGGCCCAGAAGCAGTACTGGAAGGCCAAACAGACGAAGCAGGACAAGGAGAAGATCGCTGACGTGGTGCTGCTACAAAAGTTACAGGTGTGTATGCGCACAGGCATGCACCTGTGTATGTGCCTCAGGAATCCGGGTGCACACACGGGGGCCGCTGCCCATCAGAGCCAAGAGGGGCCCTGTGGCTGAGTGGGAAACCCCAGGATGCAAGAGATTGGTATGTGTGGGTGTGAATGAGGTAAGAGAGAGGAAGTACAGTGCCTTCCCAGTGATCCACTTGTCTGTATGACCCTTTGTGCCAGTTAGAAGAAGGTGCTCCTTCCCCCAGGCTGGCATAGCCCTGATGCCCTGGGCACATGGCTCAGTAAGTGAAAGGTGGACTGGATTTCAGCTTCCACCCAGCCCTTCAGCTGGACGCCGTAGTGCAGTGAACAACCTGTACAACTGTACCTGGAGTTACCAGTAGCCCCTGATGACAGTGGCTCCAGGGAACCTGATTTGAAAACCAGTCTTAACCTCCTTCCTCATTTTATAGAGCTGGGTCTGGGACCATTAGAGGGGGCTGGGCAGTCCGTGCTTTCATCCTGTGAGTTTGTAGTAGGGCCTGAACGGCCCTCAGATCTCTGACTCACCTTGGGTTTGTTGGACACAGGGACAGCGCACAGTGCAGAGGCCTGGTGGTTGCTCATGGACCTCTTGGGGGCAGTGGCTCAGTTGACATCCTAGCAGTCCCCTCCGGACAGACCTCAGGGCCCAGTCCCCATGAAAAAGAGAGTACGAGGTTTTGGCTGTGGTCAGCAGCTTGGCACTCTGTTTCTGAGACCCTCCCTCAGGTCTGGTGTCCCAGCCCCTGTCCCATAGACCTTGCTTCCCTGTGTCCCCTTCCTTGAGGAGGTGGGTGTAAAATGGGGGGAAGAGTGGGCTTCACCCCATAGCTATGAACTGGGCTGGAAAGAGGGGGCTGAGGGTGGGCTGCCTGAGGTCTGTTACAGATAACCCATCTTTCTTCCTGGGCTGGGCTGTCACAGGCTTCCTTGCTGCTGCGACACACGCCAAAGCTGAACCAGAGATCTGGCCTGGGTGTCGGGCATTTACATGTACACAGACACACACACACATGTGTAGTCACACTGTGGGTTTATGGGAAATCATGTGGTACACGGCCAGTTTCCCTAACAGCCACCCTTGCCCCAGCCTCCATGGTGAGGCCTGGCTGAAGGGACTGAGGAGAAGAACCGGGTAGAAGGGCCAGTGCTTTCAGGGAGTGCCAGTCTGATGGAGGAGACAGAGCCCTGTCTCTAGGACCCCCCAATCTGATGGAGGAGACAGTGCCTATCCTTAAGCAGCCTCCAGTCTAATGTGACAGAAGTGCCTAAAAACGTGTCCTTAATGGGAAACCAGCCAAACCCTCAAGGCCCTTGGTGTTGGATCTGTCAGAGTTGGATCTGGGCCACCAGTGAAGACAGTGGCTAGGAGCACACACAGTTTTGGGAGGGAGGATCATAGAGGAGTGGGGTGGAGGGGGATGGGAAGGAGGCGGAGGAAGTAGCACCAGGCGCGTCTGTCAGGTTTTTGGGCTGGGGGAGGGGTCCGTGATGGGGGCATCAGGAATTGGCTGAGTTGGGGGTAGTGAGGCACAGCTTAGGTTGTCTGCTGGCAGTGTCAGACGGCACAGGGAGTTCAAGGGCCTGCTGGCATGTCTCCTCCAGATGGGGGGAGGGGGCAGGGGATCGGGGTTTGGGTCCCTGGGCTGCAGGCTGTCTGACCTCAGGCTGCCCCTCTGCATTCTGAGTCTCAGTCCCTCATCACCTGCGGAGGGAATGGGCTAGATGGCCTCTGGGGGGGGGTGTCACTGGGTACAGTGCCAGAAGCTGTGTGTGTGTGTGCACACCTGTGGGTGGGGGGGGATGTGGCCCTCCAGGAGCCGGCTTCCGAGCCTGCGTTCCACCTCTGCGTGTGTCTGTGCAGCACGCAGCCCAGATGGAGCAGAAGCAGAATGACACGGAGAACAAGAAGGTGCACGGGGACGTCGTGAAGTATGGCAGTGTCATCCAGGTGAGACCCACCTGCATCCCCCCCTGAAGAGGCTGGGCTGGCATTGGGGAGAGGGGTGCCAGCTGACATGCCCTCTGGGGCGTGTCCCTGTGACTGCATATCTGCTTCTGGGTGTGCCTGTTTCTGTGTGGCCTGAGTAGCTGTGTCCGTGGGTGTGTTTCCAGCACAGTGGTCACCGGCCGCTGGAGCCTTATGGTCTGAGTTCAAATCTTGGCTCTGTGACCGCGGGCAAGTTACTTAACTTCCCAGTGCCTTTGTTTCCCCATCTGCAAAATCAGGCCAATGATATTACTTCCCTTTTGGTAGTTGTAAGGTTACGGGAATGAATACATGGGAAGGATTCAGAAATGCTAGCTGTTTTTGTGTTCACCTAGGCTCCTGACAGTGTGTGTGTGTGTGTGTGTGTGTGTGTGTGTGTGTGTGTGTGTCACACACTCATGTGTGCGTGAGTGACTGCACGTGTCTCAATTCGTGTGTTTATGTCTGTGTATCTGACACTGTATGTGTGTCCAGCTGTGACCAAGGTCCAGTGGGCCGCCCAGAGTCCCCGTCCTCGATGGGCTGGCCCCCTGGGGCCCGGTGACCTCACTTGCACCCTGCCTGCCCCCAGCTCCTGCACATGAAGAGCAACAAGTACTTGACAGTGAACAAGCGGCTGCCAGCCCTGCTGGAGAAGAATGCCATGCGGGTGACACTGGATGCAACAGGCAACGAGGGCTCCTGGCTCTTCATCCAGCCCTTCTGGAAGCTGCGGAGCAACGGGGACAATGTAAGGACAGGGCCCGGCTGGAGGGGCCTGGTGGGAGGTGCGGGCCGCAGCACCAGAGGGGCTTCGACAGGGTCTTTGATGTGGAGACTGGATGAGGTCGTGCCCGTTTCTCAGAGGGGCAGACTGAGACCAAGGAGAGGCCTGGAGGCCTGGCCCTTCCCACCTTCACCCTGTTCCGCCTGTCCCCATAGGTGGTGGTGGGGGACAAGGTGATCCTGAATCCTGTCAACGCCGGGCAGCCTCTGCATGCCAGCAATTATGAGCTTAGTGACAACGCTGGCTGCAAGGAGGTGAGTGAGGTGGTGGGGCCAGCCCACAGTGGAAGGGCGTCTGAACATCCTTGAGGGCACAGAAGGGCCCCTCCCCACCATGGTCTTTTCCTCCACTCCCACCTGGCCAGCTGGGTGAGCTGGATCTCTATGTCTGCCCCATTCTTTGCCCCACAGGCTGGCAGCCCCAGGGCAGTTGGCTGGGGCCTGGGGGCCCTGGCTTCGAGAAGACACCTCCTCTCTGTGCTCTGATGGGAGCTGGGCTGGTCCTCCCCCCACCCCCTCACCGGGCCTTTCATGCCCCACTCTCCAACCGCTGGCGGTCCACCTGGCATCAGGGTTCTCTCTGCCCTTCCCCAGGTCAACTCTGTGAACTGCAACACCAGCTGGAAGATTAACCTGTTCATGCAGTTCCGAGACCACCTGGAGGAGGTGTTGAAAGGGGTAAGGACTGGGAGCCCACTGCCCACTGCCACCTGCCTGCCGGCTGCCCAGACCGGCCCTGAAGGTCCCCCTTTCTGCTTTCCCTCACCTACCCTTACCCAGCCCTGCTCTCTGTCAGGCCCTCCCCTCCGTACCCCACCCCCCCCCGCCGCCACCCACCGGACCACCCCATCTTTTGTTTCTAGCCTCCCAGCCTCAGTCTCCATCTTTTCTGGATCCTGGCGAGCCTTGAATTTTCCTCTTGCTAAGAGTGTGTCAGTGGATAGGGGTCCCCATTCCCTCATCTTGGAGAGCCAGATCCTTTGAGCACTCTGTTTCCTCCCCCACGCCTGCTCCATGGATCCAATCCAGGTGCACTGCCCTTTGCCCTATGCCCTCTTGGGCAAGGGCCTGAGGCTGCTGAGTCAGGGCCTGTGCCCCTATTCCAGACAGGCTTGGAGGGCACACAGTACTGCTGGGAAACACTGCGGCAACGACTTAGGGAGGGACCAGAGCAAGGGGGAAAGAGGGCTGGAGACACCATTAGACAAGCCCTGAAAACCAGGCATCCAGAGGTTCAAGTGGGGCTTCAGGGGATGGAACCAGCCTACTGGGGTGTGGGTTCTATGTGGAGGGGCAGTTGGGAGGGGCAGATATGGGGGTAGCAAAGAGGGTGGGGCTCCTCAGCTAGGGGAGTTGGCAGGCATCTGACCATGATATCTGTTAAAGGGACAGGGGACAGGCCCGAGAGCAGCCCCCTAAGGAGGCTGCCCTGTGTTCCCTGCATCTTCCCCTGCATAGAAGCCTACAGTGGCTCCCTTGACCCTCCGTTCCCAGCCAGGCTGCTCCATCAGACTTTCCTGCCCCCCTCAGGCTGCCTCAGCCTATCACTCTCCCTCTCCCGTCTCCCAGGCTCTTTCCAGTTCACCCACGCTCTGTTCAAATGCCTTTCTGTCTCTCCCTGAAGCCTGCGCGTCATCCACATATCAGTCAAGCCTCAGCCTGTGTGCCACCTCCTCCCAGAAGCCTTCTCCGATTACACATTCCAGCCCCCAATCTGTGTGGCACTGAGAAAATGAAGCACCATCATCAGGTCGAACCCCGTGGTGCTGCCTGGACTGGTTTCGGTGAATCTGTCATGGCTTTGATGTTAGTGCCAGGCAACCTGGAAGTGAGATCTGAGTGTGCAAAGTCCACCCCTTGTTTTTGTTCTCAACCCTGCGCCTCATGGATACAAGGGTCACAAGATTCTGCCAAAGCAACTGACATAATCTGTGTCTAGTTACTCACTCGTGTGTTCACTCCACAGGTGTTAACTGAGAACTTTGTGTCCAGCGCAGTGGTAGGGAAGCCAGATAATGCTGTTAGTGGTCGCAACTGGTGGTTGGAGTAATAGATATAATATTACTAGACGGTAATAGACGACCCGCTGGTTGTAGGTTCGCTGCCGGAGGAAGTGTGGTGGAAAGATAAGGGCTCTGGAGCTGCAGCACGGATTCATGTCCCATTTGTCACTAGCTCTGTGACCCTCGGCAGGACGCTTACCTTCTCTGTGCCTGAGCCTCTCCACCTGTAGGGTGGGGATAGCGATGTATGTACCCAGGGAGTCAGTGTGAGGAGGAGGTGAGAAAGTCCACGTGAGGTGGGCACGCAGAGGCTGGCCCGTGCTAAGCGCGCAGCGTGACTCCATTATACAAATTATAATCCTTGCAATCTCTGCAAGGAGGTCATAGTAGCCCCGTTGTACACGAGAGGAAACTGAGGCTCGGAGATGTTAGGGAACTTATCCAAGGTCACACAGCTTGTGAAGCAGAGCCAGGACCCAAAGTTGGTGTCTGTGTCCAAAGCTTCGGAGACGAATAAGCCAGCTGTTCTAGTTCCTGTGGGAGCAGAAGAAATGGGCAAGAACTACCCATGTTCGGGCAGAAAGGGCCCTAGGGAGGTGCAGCCATGGGCCTAGAAGGGCCCCAGAAGGTGACATCCCTCCTGCCTTCATTGAGGGGGTGACTCGAGATTGGCCTTTAGAGGTCAGGTGGGGTTTCTAGAGATATAAATCCGGGAAGGAGACAGTCAAGGGTGGGTTTGACATAGGAAGCTGGGGAAGGATCTGGATAAGAGCCTGTCCCACCCCAGTCATCTGGACATCCTGGATTTGGGATCTGGGCAGAGTGCCCGGCTGAGGGGCCAGCCCCTGGCCCCGGCCACCCGCTGGTGGGACCCAGTACACATCTCACCCTCTGCTTGCTGGCTCTGGGAGGAGCCACGGGGGCCCGGCCAGCCGCTCCTGCATCTGACGCAGGTGGGGCTGGCCGTCCTGAGCCCGTGACCCACACCTACAGGGAGACGTGGTGCGGCTGTTCCATGCGGAGCAGGAGAAGTTCCTGACGTGTGACGAGTATAAGGGCAAGCTGCAGGTGTTCCTGCGCACCACGCTGCGCCAGTCCGCCACCTCGGCCACCAGCTCCAATGCCCTCTGGGAAGTGGAGGTCAGAGCTTGTGTCTTAACCAGGACCCAGCCCTGGGCTCCCCCCTTCTTCCCCCATCCCCCTGGAGGGTAGAGCTGGGGTGGGGGTGGGGTGTCCAGGTGCCACTCACCCAGAGCTCTCCAGGTGTCCAGAGTAAACTCCTCCAGGCCTCCCCAGGGTCACCCCTCCCTGGCCAGTCCTCCTTCCTGCCTCACCCCTGCACCCCTCAGGTGGTCCACCATGACCCCTGCCGTGGAGGAGCCGGTCACTGGAATGGCCTGTATCGCTTCAAGCACCTGGCCACGGGCAACTACTTGGCTGCCGAGGTGAGTGGGGAGGGAGAGGGGGGCATCCTGGGGGCTCAGGGTGTGTGTGCATGTGGACATGTGTGAGCGTGTGTGCCTGTTGCACGTCTGCACACACAGACACACGTGACTGTGGACACTGGTTTATCTGCACTCTTGCATTTAACAAATACTATCAAGTAAGTGCATGAATGTATATAATTGAGTATTATATGAGTCTATACGAGTATACTAATGAGTATTACTGTGCCTTTGCTATGTGCCAGGAGCTAGTCTAGGCCCTGGGGATACAACGGTGAGCCAAATCCCCAGCCCTTGTATAACTTACATTCCACATTCATGTCTGTCCAGAATATGCAGGCTGGTTATGTTGGAGCATTTGTGTGTGTGTGTGTGTGTGTGTGTGTGTGTGTGTGTGTTCATCTGTGGGTGTCCACGGAGAGGGGAATGAAGGGCAAGGCCTGGGGGCTCTCATTGGTGGCTTCTTCACTAGTGACTTGGGTTTAAGTGCTGTGGTGGGTGCCCCTGGGAGGGTGAGGGCTATTTTGGGGTAAACCTTGTTTTGGGGTCATGTGAGCATAGCTCAGTGTCCAATAGCCTTCCCCATCTCGTGTCTCTGTCCAGGAGAACCCCAGTTACAAAGGCGATACCTGTGAGTCCAAGGCGGCAGGAATGGTGAGGACCAAAGTAGGGCTCTGGGGCCGGGGGAAGAGGGACCACGGGAGGGTGGCCGTGAAACCCTGGGAGGTGAGCTGGAGGGAGAAGGCCTCTCAGGTGGAACCCCAGGTGGTTTCAGGGTGCCTGAGAGGAGGGAGGGGCCTCTGCCTGAGTGGGGGTCCTTACCCCAGCGTGCTCAGGGTCGTGCAGGTCGCCGGAACGCTGGGGAGAAGATCAAGTACCGCTTGGTGGCTGTGCCCCATGGCAACGACATTGCCTCCCTCTTTGAGCTGGACCCCACCACCTTGCAGAAAACTGACTCCTTTGTGCCCAGGTGAGTAGGTGCCATGTGCCTGGGGGCTGACGGGAGTCTCCAGGCTGGGCCATCCTGTCTCTGAGCTCCCTGAATCCCACACTCCTCTGTCTTCCTGAGGTCCTTTGGCCTCAGGACCTGCATGTCCCGTCCCTCTGGGGATGGAGCTCTGAGAGCTGTAGGCAGCTAACCACCAATGAATGCTTGCTGTGTGCCTGGCCCTGGGCTCTGTGCGTGTGGATGCTGCCTCATGCAAGTTGCTTTATCAAAATGCCTTCTCTCCAGGGATCTTTATCAGCCACCTGCCCCCGTTGGTCTGCCTACTCAAGCTCAGGCTGCACGAGTTTGTCCAGGGCGTACTGGGTGGGGCCGGGGCTCCCCAATCTTTAAGTTCTTCCCCCAACCCTGAGATTCTGGGCCATAACATCAAGCAACTTCCCAGGTGTCCATCAGGCTTTAGTGTTTATTAGCTGTCTGACCTCAGGCAGCTTACTCCATCACTTTGCCCTGATTTCTTGATCTGTGAAGTGGGAATATCAAGTCTACCCATCAACAGGACTCATGGGAGAAGTAATTGAGTCGCTACAGGCCCCCACGATCCCTTAGCTGAAACTCTTGGGGCCAGGTGCATTTTGAGATTCAGATTGTTTTTCATTTCAGAAAGGTAATGATATTTCATAATCAGAGACAAGAGCGTTTCCGCTATGAAACACATGCGTCTTGACACTAAGTGGGATAAATAGTCTAAGTGGTTCCATTTGTCCAAATGAGTCTTGGTTCCAAGTTTACAAACAAGCCGGTTTTGGGGAGTGCGGGTGAGGCACGTGGGCCTCGGTAAGGGCAGCAGGGGGCCTGGGGGCTGTTTGCTGGTCACTCTTCTCTGGCTTGGGCTCCTCGCCTGGAGGGGAGCAGTTCCCTGTCCCGTGGGTGTGGAGTCAGGTGGAGATGTGGAGCATCAGGGGTAGAGCAGACAGCCGGGACGCGATCCGACGCCCCATCCCTGAGCCCTGACCCTGGCCCCGCCTGTAGGAACTCCTATGTCCGGCTGCGGCACCTCTGCACCAACACGTGGATCCAGAGCACCAACGTACCCATCGACATTGAGGAAGAGCGGCCCATTCGGCTCATGGTGCGAGGCGCCCGGGGCTGCGGGGCTGGGGCTGGGGCCTTAGCTCGTCCCTGGGTGCCCTGCTGACCCCTGTCCCTGCAGCTGGGCACCTGCCCCACCAAGGAGGACAAGGAAGCCTTTGCCATCGTGTCAGTTCCAGTGTCTGAGATCCGGGACCTGGACTTTGCCAACGATGCCAGCTCCATGCTGGCCAGTGCCGTGGAGAAACTCAGCGAGGGTTTCATCAGCCAGAATGACCGCAGGTGGGCTGCAGGGCAGGGTCATCGAGGTCTCCTGAGAGGCCTTGTCCTCCAAGGGTCTGCTTTTCATGGACGAAGGAGTCACAAAGCAGAAGCCGGGCAGGCATGGCTGGGGTGGGGGAGACAGAGGTGGGGACTGGTTTCTGCAGGCCCTGGTGGACCCGGGCCCTTGCCTCACTGCTTGTGTACTGCCAGAACTAACCCTGATGATGGGTTGAGGCTCAGAGAGGTTAAGAGACTTGTCCATGGTCACACAGCTAATCAGTGGTGGGGCCAGGGCAGAAATGCGGAGCCCTTCACATCAAACACCCTGCCTTGTGCCCAGTTGTTCCTTTCCAGACTGAAGTGTAATGAGATTCTTTGTCTTGGGGGCACTTTCGAATCCAGGGCGGGTGGGGCGAGGAGTGTGTTTTGAGAGCCATTTTGAGAGCCGTGAAACTGGGGAGAGAAGTTGAAGGCTGATGATGGGCTCTGTGCTTTGGCCAGCAGGGTGGGCGGGTGACTCGATGAGAGCGTATTTCAGGCAGGGCTGGTTGCCCGTGAAGGGCATGTGACGGGTGTGTCCCAGGGGTGTTTCCCAGGGTCGGTGCCTCACGCTTGTCATCCCTGGCGTCCCTTTGTGAAGGTTTGTCATCCAGCTGCTGGAGGACCTGGTGTTCTTCGTCAGCGATGTGCCCAACAATGGGCAGAATGTGCTGGACATCATGGTCACCAAGCCCAACCGGGAACGGCAGAAGCTGATGCGCGAGCAGAACATCCTCAAACAGGTGCCTGTGCACAGGCGTGGGGAATGGGGCGGACCCCGTCTGGGACCTGCAGTGGCCTTGGGGACCGGGCCGGGTGTCCAGGACAGGAGCCATTCCCATCTGTAGTGGACCTTCTGTGTCTGCAGCTTCTCATCACCCCTTTTTCCAAAATGAGTATTTGTTGAGCACTGACTGCGTACCAGTGCCCTTGGCTCAGTTGATCTTCTCCACCTGGGGGAGGTAGTACTATTATCCCCATGTTACCCGTGAGGAGACTGAGGCATAGAGGGTGGAGTAACTTGACCGAGAGTTTGCAGCTAGGAAGCAGCAGGGCCAGGATTTGAACTCAGGATGTTGGGTCTAGAACTTGTGCTTTTTTTTTTTTTAAGTAGGCTCCATGCCCAACATGGGGCTTGAACTCATGACCCCGAGATCAAGAGTCCCATGCTCTACTGATTGAGCCAGCCAGGTGCCCCCAGAACTTGTGCTTTAAAAATATTTTTTTCTCTGGGGCACCCGACTTACCCAGTGGAGCACACGACTCTTGATCTCGGGGTTGTGGGTTCGAGCCCTGTATTGGGTGTGGAGATTACTTTAAATATTCTTTCTAAATTTTTATTGTGAAAACGTTCAAATATGAGAAAGTACTGAAAGAATAGCACAGTGAATACAACCACTGCCTGAATGCACTTGTTACCATTTTGCCGGTTTGGCTTTACGTAACCATGCATCTATACATCTGTCCCTCCACCCTTGCGTTTCCAAACAGGGCGCACCTCACCCCTAAGTTTTTCAGTGTGCATCTCCTGGGATAAACACAATACTGTCATCACACCTAAGAAAATTGGTAATAGTGCCCAAACCATAGCAAGTTTCCCTACTTTTCGCCCAAAATGTTCTTTTAAAGGTTTTTTTTGTTGTTGTTTCTTTTGAAGCAGGATCCAGTGAAGGTTTTCTCATTCCATATGGTTGCATTTCTTTGGTTTCTGTTCTAGAACAGAACCCTCACCCAATCCCTGCCTTTAAAAATTTTTAAATTACATTAACATTGTTTTGATGAGGCAGGCTGTGTCCGCCCTCCACAATAACCACAAGCTCCTGGAGAAGCACATTACTGAGACCAGAGGTGGAGACCTCTGGCCACACCGGCCTGACCTGCCTTTTCTCTTAACCTCAGACCCCTGAGCTGTGGCAGCCATGAGCTCTTCCCCCAGATGCTGAGCCTGGTCCAGGATCTGAGCTGGGACTAGTCATGTGGGGATGGGTGGGCTTAGGCCAGCATTGGAATCCTGGCCAGGAGAAGGGGGTGAGAGCTGGAAGAGGGGCCGTTGATGGGGGCTTGGAGGTCTCAGTCCAGCTTAAAATCAGCTTTGGGGTTCATGGTGGTGTGGCTTTGGGGCAGAGTGAGTTTGGGGCTGAGGGTTTCTGGGATATTGAGGGTTGCAGGCAGGTATAGGGGGATCCCTTCTCATTCTCTCTGCCCTTCCAGATCTTTGGCATTCTGAAGGCCCCTTTCCGTGACAAGGGGGGTGAGGGCCCCCTGGTGCGGCTGGAGGAGCTGTCAGACCAGAAGAATGCCCCCTACCAGCACATGTTCCGCCTCTGCTACCGGGTGCTGCGGCATTCCCAGGAAGATTACCGTAAGAACCAGGTGCGCTGCTCGCCCTGGCCTGAGCCTTCCTGGCCCCGGGGGTCTCCCCATGCACCTGCTCACTGGCTTGCTCTCTTGCTCACTCCTGCTTTTGTTTGTTCAGCAAATATTTTCTGAGGCACGCACACGCTGCATGACAGGCACCATTTTAGGCCCCGGGGATACCGTAGGGAACCAGGCAACCCGGCCAGCTTCATGGGTGTGCAGAGAAGGACCTCGAGCTGGCTTTAATGCTCTGTGGTTGCCATCTTGAAATTCTCAAATTTTGAAGAAAGGTCCTGCTATTTCGTTTTTGCACAGGGCCCCACAAATTATGTAGCCGGTCCTGCCCGATAATTTCCTCCCCTGTGGAGGCTTCACTCTGGTAGGGAGACAGGCTGGGAGCTGAAGAACTAGATTACGTAAACCTACTCTTCTGCCCGGTGCCAGTTTCCTCTCCTAGACTGCCACCTTGCTAGGGTCGGGGTCCCCCGCCTGTGGGAGGGACCCCTGTCTCCAGGGCTAGGGTGGGGTGCTGGAGCAGAGCCGGGCTCCCCACGACTCAGCCCGTCTGTTCCCCAGGAGCACATCGCCAAACAGTTCGGGATGATGCAGTCCCAGATCGGCTATGACATCCTGGCAGAAGACACCATCACTGCCCTCCTGCACAACAACCGCAAGCTCCTGGAGAAGCACATCACCAAGACCGAGGTGGAGACCTTCGTCAGCCTCGTACGGAAGAACAGGGAGCCCAGGTGAGCCCGCCCACCCCCCACCCCCCACCCTCTCACTGCACCTATGCCCTTCTCCTTGCCAGTCCTCCGGGGGCACAGAGTCCACTGTAGCTGCTCATTACAAATAGTGAAAAACTATTGCCTCCATTGGTAAATTGCCACCTCTCTGAGACCCTGGCCTCTGCCGCCCCTCTCTGGGACCCCTCCAAAATTTGGCCCAATCTAACAAGAAGAGGGTCAATGCCTGATATAGCAGAAGGCCCAAGACCCTTCTCTGGTGACAAAGTCGGTGCCCGTATTGAACCAGTTGTTAAATATTTTGAATATCACTCCTGTCCTTGTGCCTCCTTTACCCTGACCCCTTGGACCCCCAGCTACCCTCCCCCCCCTGCCCAGGTGATCAGGGTGATGCCCATGACTGTCTCTCCTTGGGCAGCTGGGAGTCCATCGTGCCCATACCCCAAGCTTTGGGGTAGGAGCAGAAGCAGTAAACCGGTTTTAGGGAGCCGGTGCCGTCCGCTGGGGAAGGAGGACGTTGGGCTTTATCCCTACCAGGGACCAGCCTCTGAGCCCCCTGGCCCTCCTTGCTGTCACCACCCCAGGTTCCTGGACTACCTCTCTGACCTGTGTGTGTCCAACCACATCGCCATCCCTGTCACCCAAGAGCTCATCTGCAAATGTGTGCTGGACCCCAAGAACAGTGACATTCTCATCCAGACCGAGTGAGCCATTGCGTTGCCTCCTGCCCACATCCAGGGCTCCGCCTTGCCCTGTTCCTCAGCCGCCTTGGAGCCTGGGCCCCGTCGGCTAGAACTGACACCCTCGCGGTCTGCAGACATGTGCCCTTGCCTGCTGGGTGCCCAGCCCTGTGCTGGTGCTACGTGAGGAGGGAGGCCTAGGGGAATGAGCCAGATCCTTTGTCCTTGAGAAGGGCGTGGCCTGAGGAAGTTGTCTGAGCTGGCACTCAGCCAAGCTCCAGGAGGGGTCCGTGTGGCTGGGCATGCTCGGGGAGGGCTGTGGGCACGCAGTCCGGCCCCAGCCCCCTGCTCCCTGTGATGGGTGGCCCTGGTTTGCAGGCTGCGGCCGGTGAAGGAGATGGCCCAGTCCCACGAGTACCTGAGCATCGAGTACTCAGAGGAGGAGGTGTGGCTCACTTGGACCGACAAGAATAACGAGCACCATGAGAAGAGCGTGAGGCAGCTGGCCCAGGAGGCGCGGGCCGGCAATGCCCATGACGAGAACGTGCTCAGCTACTACAGGTGCGTCCGGGGCCAGCTCCTTCCCCTGCTTCGTGCCATGCCACCCGTGCCCTTGGGCCTTCTCGGAAGGCCTTCAGCCAGTCCCTGCTTGGGGATGAGCCCCAGCAGCCTTGCAGCCTTCCTCAGGGAGGCAGAGTGAGGGCAACTGTGTAGCTAAAGAGCTCAGCACAGTGACTGGGCCTGAAAGAAACCCAAACCTGTCTCCAAACTTATTGATTTAGAAAATGAGATACTGGGTAACACGTATCAAATGTGGGCCATGTACCAGGCACTGTTCAAAGTGACCTGGCCACTCACTGATGCCCCACCGTAACCCTGTGACTATTGTTACCCTCGAAGTTGGAGCGACAGCACAGAGAGTTAAAGAACTTGCCCAAGCTCACACATCCTTAGTGGTGGGCCATCTGTCGCCAGGGCCCACGGCAGGTAACACAGGGCTCTGAGCAGGAAGCCGAGGGCGTGCCGCCACCCTGGGGCAGAGCAGTGTCGCCTGCAGCCGCCATTTCTGTAGCTCTCACCTCCCGGGCTCACACCCTGCACCCCCCGCTCTGCCCAGGCTGGTCCCCCTACCGCACTTCCCTCCCCTTCCTCTCCCAGCCCGTCACTCAGCCAGCCCTCTTCCCTGTGAAGACCTGGGCTGGCTGAGCCAGGAAGTGCTTTCCTCCTTTCCTCCGCAGCAAGGAGCGGGGAGAGCTGCAAATACGCAAAACTCCAGGCTGTTTTCCCTTTCACCGTGCTCACTCAGAATCGTGTCCTTCCTATTATGTGGGCAGATGCCTGGTTTGACCTACGTCCCGTTGCCGGTTTCCCAAATTCTCAACCTGCTCAGGTCCAACTGCTAGTAGCCCTCCAACTGCTAGCTGGCCCCCGCCTGCCGTGTCCTCACCCTCCGCCCTGCCCTCCCTGCAGGTACCAGCTGAAGCTCTTTGCTCGCATGTGCCTGGACCGCCAGTACCTGGCCATCGACGAGATCTCCCAGCAGCTGGGTGTTGACCTGATCTTCCTGTGTATGGCAGACGAAATGCTGCCCTTTGACCTACGCGCCTCCTTCTGCCACCTGATGCTGCACGTGCACGTGGACAGGGACCCCCAGGAGCTGGTCACGCCCGTCAAATTCGCCCGCCTCTGGACTGAGATCC